TAGCAGAGGAAGTAGCTCAGACACTCTGACATCCGTGGCACTGACAATAACGGGCAGGGGTGGGCTTCCAGAGGCGGGGACCACCCCCCTCCACTGCACACACTCCCCCCAGAAACACTCATCCCACCGGCCGGGCCAAAGAGTTAAGCTCCTTAGCATTCCAAGCTGCATGTTCGTCAGAAGGACCTTAGCCCACATTGTCAGGGACAGACCAGGAGGGTCCCTGGCCAGGGACTCGGAAGGCCCGGGGGAGAACCCAGGTCCCTGTGGGGAATTCCCCGGGCCTTTTTCTCGGTTTTCGTTCTCTTGTCTGCAAACGGGGTGAGAGTCTGTGCCTCGCAAACGCCTTGGGGTCCTGAGTTCCTCTCAGAACGTGTCCAGCGCTGTAGACCTGTGGACAGGGGCGGAAGATGGAAAATCTGGCTTGCAGTACGTCAGGGGATGGGCCCCTTCTGGAAGGTTCCCCGTCGTGTTTCCTGTTGCCTCTCACTGTGGCCTCTGGGACCTCATCTCCTCTCCCCACTGTCCCGCTTGGGTTCCGCAAATGTCCCCAGCCTCGTTCCTGCCTCAGGCACTTTGCACCTCAAAATTCCCACTGGCTGGAGTGGCTTTGGACCCAGCCCTTTCTGGCTCCTTCTGGTCACTCCTGAAAGAGCCTCTCCAACCAGTCAGCTCCGTGGGACCTCTCAAGGCTGCTCTGTCTCCTCATCCGCCTTTATCTTCCTCGTCACCGTTAACACCAGCGATACCGTCTTCATTTATCATAGTATCCGCCAGACGGTCAGCCCCACGGAGGCAGAGGTCCCGGTGGTCTTGTTCACAGCTGTGTTCCCAGTGCCTGGGAACAACTCCTGGCATACCATAGGTGTTTAATAAATAGTTGGCAGATGGATATATGAATCGGTGCCTTCCTTAGGGCAGCGTTACCCCAAATTCAGCAATTTCAGGTGCTGCCATGATGATATTTACCACACCTGGGTGTACTGATTCTACTACTTACCTAACATTTTCCTCCAAATTGTTCCATTCTTTAAAAAAAAAAAAGTTTTTTGACCGGGTATGGGGGCTAATGAAATGTCCCATTCTTTCGACTTCAGTTGCTTCCAAGGAAACGGTTACATCCCTGCCAATGTTAATCTGCCATGGACAGAAAGGGGCTCTGGAAGGGGCTTATTTGACCCCCTTCCTCATTGAGGCTCTGAACCAGCTGAGAAGCTGAACTGTGGAGTCCGCGGATGAAGCTGGCATGGCACTCAGGGAAACCTGGTCGAGGCTGGGTGTGCACAGGGGAGGCATGGGGTGGGGGCAAGGCCAGGAGTATTGCAGGGCCAGAGCCCCCGCGTCAGGTGGAGGACAGCTGGGGACAAGGTCACCAGGTCTAGCTGACCCTGTTCCCTAAGCTACCTGGGTCTCCTGGGCCTTCCCAGCTTTTCCGATGGCTCCAAAGAGCGGCCAGGTGAGAGGCTGTCGGCCGGGCAATCGGGAGAGTCACTTAAATAAGATCAGGGTTTCTCAGCGGGGCACTGACAGTTCTTTCTGGATCATTCTTTGTAGCGGGGGCCATCCTGCGTCATGGAGGACATTCAGCAGCATCCCTGGCCTCCACCCACCAGGTGCAGGGAGCACCCCGAGTTGTGCCACCACCAGGACATTGCCAAGTATCTCCTGGGGCAGAGTCTCCCCAGCCTGAACGATGGCTGTTCCAGGGAAGGAGACACGCAGGCCTTTGGCTGGCCCGGGTGTTGCACGCCGCCTCCCACGCAGTCAGTTGCTCCCTGACACCCAGCCAGGGACACCCGGCGCTGCTTAATTAGACACCCACCCCCTAATTACATTCACTCTTTCAACGTTGGATGTGAGTCAGGACTGGAGATGGTGCAGCCGGTTCCCGCCCCCTCCTCCCCAAAACACCAGGCTCTTCCCTTTATTTCTGCTCCGTCCTCCCACGCCACAGAAGCCTCCACCCAGCCTCGCCCCTGAGGCTGCTGGGGGCTCCTCCCTTCCTGTGTCGCCTCCCCTGGGTGGCCTGGTCCTTCAGGAGCTGTTCTGTCACCTCCTTCCTGGAGCACTCACTTCCCCCACTGCCGTGTCCCTCGGGGTTTGGGAATGCAGCCACCTAGGTTGCTAAGGGGTCTTCCTGCGTTCCTGGGCAGTGCCAGCCCCTGCCAGGTCTGTAGGAAACCCCACGGGAGGGATCCAGCTTGTCACAGCCAGCAGTCTCTGGCAGCCCCCGTGCCTTCTTCAAGGACCTAGGCGGAAGGGTCCCTTCCCCACCTACTCTTCCCTCCTTGGGATGTCCACCGCCCCATCTCTCTCTCTCCTCATCCCAGGTTCTCAGCCGACACCCACTGGGCCCTCTCCAACCACAAGGCCCAGCGCCGAGTGTCTGTCAAGATCTCGTAACATCCCTGCAGCCACCCCAAACAATCATATTTCTATGCTCAACAATGGCTGTGTAGCCAGGCACGGTGGCTCACGCCCGTAACTCCAGCACTTTGGGAGGCTGAGGCAGGAGGATCGCTTGAGCCCAGGAATTCAAGACAATCCCGGGCAACATAGTGAGAACTTGTCTCTACAAAAAAATCAAAGAATTAGCCAGGTGTGGTCCCAGCTACTCCAGGAGGCTGAGGTGGGAGGATCACTTGGACCCAGCAGTTCAAGGCTGCAGTTGTGTCTTGATTGTGCCACTGTACTCCAGCCTGGGTGACAGAGTGATACCCTGACTCAAAAAACAGCTGTGGACTGTCTTGGGCCCCAATGTTCTGGAGAGAGGTTGGGATGGGAAGGGAAACCCCTCTCCAATTTTCCTATTCCTTAAAAAAAATTGCCTTATAGATTATCATTATTAAAAAGTATATATGAGGCTGGGTTTGGTGACTCAAACCTGTAATCCCAGCACTCTGAGAGGCAGAGGTAAAAGAATTGCCTGAACCCAGGGGTTCAAAACCAGCCTGAGCATCTTGGTGAGACCTCATCTCTACAATAAATTTTTTTAAAAATTAACTGGGCATGGTGGTGCACACCTGTGGTTCTGGCTACTTGAAAGGCTGAGGCAGAAGGATTGCCTAAGCCCAGCCGGTCAAGGCTGCAGTGGCCGTGAGCACGCCACTATACTCTAGCCTGGGTGACAGAGTGAGACTCTGACTCAAAATAAATTAATACAAATAAAATAAACATTGTACACGATCTCTAAAGAAAACAAAAACAGAGAAGAATCACGAAGAAGCTCCGCTTCCCAGTGAGTAAACATTCTTGTTGATGGAAATCGTACATGTGTGGAAGTGCGCTGCTCCCCAGTGTCCAGGACAAGGTTCCACCAATGGAACCATCCCCGTTCCGGAAACAGAATGAGACCATGGACTGAGAAGCCCTCGTGCCCGTCACCGGGCCCCCCGCCCATGTCCTGAGTCACCACTGTTTTGACTCCATGACCACAGATTTGCCTATTTTCGAATTTCATAGAAGTGGGATCACACGGCATGTGTTTTTCTGTACCTGGTTACCTCACTTGATCCGAGATTGCTCAGAGGCCACGTTCCTGAAGGGAGGAGTAAACTAGGCCTTGCGGTCTGGTTTCTGCCTCGTCTCCGTTCTGTAAACACGGAGCCATGCCCCGCCCCCATCCTTTTGTGGACGGAGATTTGATTTGTTTCTAGGTATTTGCTATGACAAATGTGTTGCTACACGCATGTCCTATATGTGGCTTTGGGTGAATGCGGGAATACTTTTCTGTCGAGTAACAGCTCAGAGTTAAATCGCCGGGCCAGAGGTTATGAACGGGATCTGATTTAGGAAACACCACCAAAGGGTTTTCCACGCTGGCTGGACCAGCTGGCACATCCAGCAGGTGTGTGTGAGGGCCACCCTGCGCTCCCACGAACGCTTCATGGGAGCCATTCTGGTTGCTGTGTGTAGTAGACAGAAATCAAGGGATCTGCACACTTGAATGGGATGAAACTCCACTTTTATCTCCACTCACCTGCAACTGAAGCTTGGTGTTTGCTTCCGTTATGAGCGTGGGCCCCCCAAAACACCGCCCGTCGGGAGAATCTGCCACACCGTCATCGGCAGAGATCACCAGCATTTTAATATCCTGTTCCCGTTCTCGCAGATACTGCCACATCAAATATTTTCACTTGTCACTGCTTTGAAATGATCACTCTCTACAAGGTCTCTCTTTTAATGTATTGCTTTTTAAGACACACTCTGTTGTCGCAAATGCTTTTAGGACAGAGGGTGCCAAAAAATGTATACGCCTTTTAAGAAAGGAAAAACCTGTATTAAAATTGTGATACCTCATCTGTACCAATAACAAAAGATGAATGCAAGTCACTTCTGAAATCTGCCATTACAAGCGGTGCACAGAGTAGTTTCCATCGGTGTCCAGACACTTCTGATTACGGAAAACTGAAAGTCATACATAGAGTACATTGCCTGAAACGTATATGCATTTTGGGGGCACCCCCAATATTTTGATAACCATATTTCCGAATCATTGATTTTTCTCTGTGATCCTATATATTCCACACTTGTGAAAACACTTGAGGAGGGGCCCAGAGGCTCTGCATGTGGGCTGAAAGGTCTGTGGCAGAGAGGGTGTGCGGTGCTCAGGCCTTGGGCACGTGATGGTTTAAGAAACATCATCGGGCCAGGCGCAGTGGCTCATGCCTGTCATCCCAGCACTTTGGGAGGCCAAGAAGGGAGAATCGCTTGAGGCCAGGAGTTCAAGACCAGCCTGGGCAACAAAGCAAGACCTTGTCTCTAGAAAAAAAAATGAATAATTAGCCAGGCATGGAAGTGCGCTCCTATAGTTCCAGCTGCTTGGGAGGCTGAGGCAGGAGGATCGCCTGAGTCCAGTAGGTGGAAGCTGCAGTGAACCGTGATGGTGCCACTGCACTCCAGCCTGGGCAACAGAGTGAGACTCCAACTCAAAAAAGAAAGAAAGAAAGAAACACGGCCGGTGCTTTCTCACGTGCCTCCTGGTCCCTGTCCCTCCACAGCTTTCTTCGGGAAGTATCTTAATGAATACAACGGCTCCTACGTGCCGCCTGGCTGGAAGGAGTGGGTTGGACTCCTTAAAAACTCCCGCTTTTACAACTACACCCTCTGTCGGAACGGCGTGAAGGAGAAGCACGGCTCCAACTACGCCAAGGTAAGCTGCGCCCTCTGCCGGCCCGGGGAGGCGGTGTGGCCCACGGTCAGGGCCCCACCCAGGAGCCCCGCTGCAGGGGTTCGGGTCCTGACCCTGACACTTCCTTAACTGCGTGGCCTTGAGCATCATACATGCGTCCTCTGCTTCTCAGTTTTTTGTCTTTTATCGCTCAAAGAATATTCTGGCCGAGCATGGTGGCGCATACCTGTAATCCCCGCACTTTGAGGAGACTGAGGCAGGAGGATTGCCTGAGCCCAGGAGTTCGAGACCAGCCTGGGCAACATAGCGAGACTTTGTCCCTACAAAGAATCAAAAAATCAGCCAGGTGTGGTCGCACATGCCTGTAGTCCCAGCTACTCCGGAGGCTGAGGTGGGAGGATCACCTGAGCTCGGGAAGTCAAGGAGCCATGATGGTGCCACTGTGATCCAGCCTGGGCGACAGAATGAGACCCTGACTCAAAAAAACCCCACAAAAGCTCTCTTTTGTTTCTTTTCTTTCTTTTTTTTTTTTTTGATTTGGAGTCTCTCTCTGTC